AGGAGACGAAGGGACGGGCGGGGTTATACACGTTTTCCTGGTACACATCGTCAGCGCACATAACTAACCCGTTGTCTGAGCAGAAGCGAATCAACTCCTGTAGGTTCTCCGCAGTCAGGCACTGGCCAGTGGGGTTGCCAGGGTTGATTAACACGAAGGCGCGCACGCAGATGCCCTTGGCTCTGGCGGAGTCTAGGGAGCGCTGCAGTTCGGATATGTCTAGTCCCCAGCCCGATGCCTCGTCGAGGTAGTAGGGCACGAGCTCCCCCCCGTACAGGTCGATGGTGGCGGAGTACAGGGGGTACTGGGGGATGGGCACCATCACGCCATCCGAGGGGCCGCGGATGGTGGCGAAGAGCAGCATGCGGACGGTCTCTGAGGCGCCGTTGGACAGGAAGATCGTGTTGGGGTCGGAGGGGGCGCCCGTTACGCTGTGGATGAAGTCCGCCACCTCCTGCCGGATAAAGGCGCTACCCTTGGCGTCCGAGTTGGTGCTAGTCTCGGTAAGTTATGCGGGCCAGACTGAGACCTCTGCACAATGCACGAACTGCATTTTTGTCTTTTTTTTTAAAAATCGAAAATTTCACTTTCGAGGGCCGACACGGCGAAAAAGCGACGCCATTTCACAAATTTTCAGCAAATTTTGAACATGAGAGACAGTTTCTACGGCACGTTTTGGGAACCTGGGAAGGTGCTTGGGACCAAGAACTTACCACACTACGCTAACCCTCTCTGGGTCGGAAATGATTCCCAGGGGACCTTATTAGTTTGTACCAAAATATATGGCGGCAATATCATGTAAGTATGTGTATATAACGCCTATACAATCACACAGCAAGAAATTTCCAGGGGTATATAAAACTTTTTTATATACCCCTGGGAATTTCTTGCTGTGTCATGTAAGTATGTGTATATAACGCCTATACAATCACACAGCAAGAAATTTCCAGGGGTATATAAAACAAGTTTTATATAGGTGACGCGGTCAGAGGCATGGCAGCAGCACTCGTCATGGTACGAGATGATGTGCCGCAGCGATGCCCCGACCTGCAGCATCTCGCCAGGTACTTCTGTGTTCATGTACTCCCCAGTGTACGTAATTGTGCGGCGCTGCATGTCCAGCATTTCCACCACGTAGACCTTGAGATGGGCCAGCACATCTTCGCGTTGGTGTCCGTCGTTGTAGATCTCTAGAGCTGATGCATTCTTGTACTTAAATCCTAACGCTGCAAGCCATAGTTGCCCAGTTCTTTTTTAATGTTACAGTTGTAGCTGGCATTGCAGAAGTTGGCGAAGTCCTGTGCTGTGGCGGGTGGGCTAGCTCTGCTGGCATTTGTGATCCACGTTGTCATCTCAGCCCTGTGCACAGCGTCGCAGATTACTAAACGGCCGGTCCGCTTGCTGTACCCCACGTTAGTAAACTTGCCGCCTGATCTCAGAAGCTGTAGTGCCCACTGCCGCACGAGTGTTGCACTGTAGCGACCACCCAGCGCCAGCCGTTCTGTCACCGCAGTGACCTGGTTCATGCTCTCTCCCGCGCTATACATACCATGCAGCTCTGCAAGGAGCTGCTGTACAGCATGCACTCTGTCGCTTAGCGCTCGATCGCCGCGAAAGGACAGCGGCACGTCGCTCTGGAACACCAGCACCTTCTGTGCTCGCACCGCGCTGGTCGCTGTGTGGTACTTGCGTATCTTCTCCTGCGCCATCCCCACCCACCCATTATCCACCCAATCCTGGTAGGTCTTGCGCCCAAAGGAGCGCCAGTCCAGCCGCTCACTCTCCACGAAGGTATCCCCCGCAACGCCGTGAGTGATGCGAGTGGGACATCTGATCAGGTCAGCGGTTATGTCCGTGGGCGTGATCTGGCTGATGATGACCACGGAGTCTGGGGGGCTTACTTTAGCCACCTTCCTCGCTCCACTGGGTGTACGATCGCCCCTCCGCCCCTTACTGTTCCCCGTCAAACCTGTGTTTTCGGAACGGGGCATGCTCGCTTGGGTCGGTGGCGATGAGCCTAATGAACCCCGGGGCGTGCTAGAACGAGATATAAACAAGCCCGAGAGCACCTTGAAACAGCAGGGGATGCTCAGCAACTTCTGCAAAGGTACCTCGCGCACGGGCAGCTTGGTGACGATGGGGATGGGTTCAATTCGCCAACTCAAGTTTGAAATCGAACTGCGAGACCGCAACCACGGGGCAGGGGAGCTGTTGTTAAGGACTTTAAGACGCACTAATTCGTTTTCTCTAACTCTAAGTGTGTCAATATTTGATGTACACCGCGTCCGCCACTAAAAATGACGAAATACGCCAGATATAGTTTCGATTTTGAGGTGCGTCGACCTTAAGATGAATCACGAACCCAAAGTCCGACGACAGCGGGCGGTGGCAGGCAAAAAAACGGCAAAAATTGATAATGTTATACGGGGAGAGCCAAAAATAACAAAAAGTAATTTGCATCAGCCGGGAATCGAACCCGGGGCCCCCGCATGGCAAGCGGAGATTTTACCACTAAACCACTGATACCTGCTTGCTATGGCAGATGATTGAAGGGAAATCAAACTAGGTATATTCCAATGGAAGGTGTTTTTGCTCAGCCATGTCTCTGTGTTCCTCCGGTCATCGGTCATCAAGAATGAAAGTCATTTCATTCCCCCTTGCTCCAGTCAGTCTGCTTTCCTTCCCAGCGCAAGTGAAGGTGGGGAGAGGTGGAGGCAGAGTAGGTGTGCCGTTCCTCTCAGTTGCGTCAAGCAGGTGTGCCCTTCCCCCTCTGTGTGCCAGGTGACCAGGTGACCAGGTGGAAGGCGAATGCCAAGGAGGAGAACGCCCACGCCCCTCGCACCGTTCTTCCAGCACCACCTGCGAGTTGCTCGATTTGATGGACTCCCAGACTAGCTAGTGCAACCTTCTCCATGAGCAGCTGCCGGGACCGGTCCTCCGAAGTGGACGCCCGATGCTCCGAGATAGCAGCGGAGCTTCGAGGACTGGATCAGTATGTATCTTTCGAGAAGGTGCTGACGGTTCTTCTTCAGCGTTATGGTGTTGGGTGCTTCGAGGCACTGCAATGCGGTAGAGTTGACCAGCTGCCAATGTTGTCGTTGCTGATGGCCATCGATAGCAAGGTCTGGCGTCTGCGCCCTTTCGTTTCATTTCCCCCTGCACCCCTGCACTCCGATGCTTGCAACGATCTTACCTCGTCGTGCCCTGCACACCCGATTACGCAGGTGGACGTTTTTCCGGCCGCGTGGTTCGCAGTGCGCTCCGTGCTGACGCTGCGCGACCTGGAGAGCGACTGTGCGCAGTTCCTGCACAGCTTCAACGTGCCCACGCTGCACTCCCTGCACCCACAGCTGCCAGATGTGAGCCCAGGCACGGACACTGGACACGCGCCTGGGTGCAAGAT